CTTATAATTAATTACTTTGATAGGAAGACTAAGTTCAACAGTATTTGTAATTGACACAGACCACATAAATGTGGTAATTTACATAAATCTAAAGACTTTGAAGAACGTCTGTTGGATGTATATAACGAAACTTTTAAACAAGCATGACTAACTTTTAGTAAATGAATTACGTGTAACAATGATTCAAAGTTCACAAAAATTTTAATCAATGCCCATTAATTACAAAAAAAAACAGGTCACGATCGTGACCAAAAGCAATATCAAGGAAATTTACAATTTTAGTTAAATAAGTATAAATATGAACGGCTCTTGATAACATAAATCTTTCTAAACGTTCTTTTTGTCAGCCATTAACGAGAGGAATTTAAAAAAAACATTAGCGAACTAATGCTCCGAAAATTTTCCACTTTTTTATTATTACTTTCCACACCTATGCGGAAAGATCAACACCTGAATAAGCGATAATTTGAAGAAGTTAAGTAATTGATTTCGGTAACACTATACATATTTTGTTTTGTAGGATTTTAAGTATTAACAGACCTTCGTTAATATCTAAAAATGTATAATGTTAGAAGAATTTAATAGGTTATCTACTAAATTCTTCCGAGTAGTATCTCTAGTATGCGGTCCCTTCTGGAGGAGCGAAGTGATAATCAATTTCAAGTTTTAGGTACTTTTACATTATAATGAAATAGGCAGTCTTTGTCTTCCTTTTAAATTCCCATAAAAAAAGTATAAAAATAAAAGATTTTGTTTCTTTTAACTGAAATCGTTGTAAGTAGATTGCGAGTAGAAAATAGTCAGAAATTTACATGAAGAAACTGTATACGAACGGTTTGCTCACTACATGTATTATGTCATACTAAAAATTGTAATAATAACCGGTCGCATTTTATGACTTATAGTTATGGACTAAAAAAGGCGCTTTTTGTATTAAAACATAATTTTTATATTTTTTTTCATAAATTACAGTATTTTTCATAAACTCCAGCACTGTGTCGTACAATAACTTACTTTAACAATGTTTACAGAAACGGTATTGCTCAACTACGTACCTGTCCATTATTTTAAAACTTTAAATATTTAATAACAAAAAAATTGCGATTTATGTGAATACTGTGCTTTAGTATAGTGCCGTGGTTTGATGACGAATTGACTTATTACGCACCTCAGGATTACGTTGTTGCTACATGTAAGGTTTCATTACGTCATACTAATTTTGTTAATATACTTTCGTCACAAAAAAATCCCTTTTGCCTTGCAGGTGCTGCTTAATCCAATTATGATAATTAAAGAATAATGTCCAACAATTTTCAGGAGACTGAGCCTGTTAAAAGATATAGCAAGTTAGCAAGTGGCATTTTCTGTCTATAACATTTAGATTAATGAAGCTTACTGCGCAACTTTACAGTAACAAAAGAACAGTGTTGTAACATTATAAGGCCTTGTAATTACTTTTCCCTAAACGAACTTGAACAAAAACGATGTTTTTAAAGATTTTCATATGTATCGTAAATGCAATTAAAACCTAGTGAAAGGTTAATCGTTGGCGTAGAACTCCAGAATACCACCATTAATCAGGCTTTAGTGTTTTTGCTGCCAGTTTCGTATCGATTCATGTTAGTCCTCTCAATTTATTGCTGTATTGAATTCGTGTTGATGTTACACATTGACTTCAATACAATAATTAACGCTGTGTACCTAGTTAGGATAAGTAAAGATTTAGCACGAGTTACTCAGTTTAATGGCAATCGTTGAAAAGAAAATTAAGCAAAACACATAAATCATGGCCTTCTAACTGAGATAATTTCCTAATAAGCTTTATTTATCTATCAAATATTTTTACGACTCTGGGTCATAACGGCCGGGCGTTTACGGTCGTATATTTATTACTTCTAGGGCCATGAAAACTCGGCCAATCTAATTTGAAAATAGCTGCTCACCATCTTAAAAAATGCTTCACATAACTACAACTGAATTTTAGTGTGATTATGAAAGTTTCAGTTAAACCATGATCAAGCCATTTATACGTCCCACTGCTGTGTGGGTCTCCTTTCAGACGAGGGTTTAGGCCATAGTCCGCCACGCTGGCCCAATGCGGGTTGGGGACTTCACACGTTGTCCGAGGGTTGTGAACCTTCTTCAACGTGCAGGTTTCATCGCGATGTTTTCTTCACCGAAAACCGTATGTATCACCGAATCAATATTAACCTACACGTATACATTAATGTACCGATATACTCGTAGTACAATTCATGTACACGTACCAATAATGCAAAGAAACTTGTCATCGAGTACATAACCAAGACGCCCGTCTACAATTGGTAAATTATTAATTCAGACATATTTCCATCGGGTGAGTTGAAGAGTTCAAATGCGCATTTAATCTATCACAAAAAAAATGTTTGTTGTTTTTAATGGCATCCTCGCCGTTGTTGCCAACAGGCTGGACTGCCCCTACCAAATATATTGGGTGCAACTACATGTGCGTAGTGTAATGGTCTAGACGTGGCATTTCACTAGAATTAAGTCATTATGTATTGAACTAACCATAGCACATAAGAAAAATTTACTGTATTACTAACTATCCTGTCCTGTCCTGTCCAGCCCTGCCCTGTCCTGTTCTGTTCTGTTTTATGTATGTAATTGTAAATGTATGTTGTATGTTGTGTAAATGTAGGTATATAATGTAATTTCTTTTTAATTGCAATTTTTATGTATTCAGAATATTTTCAAAAAGATTGCCAATCTTTTTGAAAATATTCTGAATTCAAAAACAAAGCACCATAGTTGTGGTTTGGCTTCATACCAATAAATGAAAGTAACAGTCATTGACCTAATGGTAACAGTATTTATGTCTACATAAAATTATTACATTAAGCAATAACCGAATAACATATAATAACGTTAATTAATACCTATCTCTTCTGTGTTTTGTATTTTTTCAGATGATTTTTGCACAAAATTTACTCTAAAGACGTAATTTTATTCCAAAAAAATATGTCTGGCTCTATCGCAATTCTGGATTGTTAGGTTACGTAACTGCAAACCATGATTATTGTTAATATTTCATATTTGTAATTAAATATTTTATTGAATGTCAGGATGTTTCACCACCATGATATTCAATTATTTTTTGTGAAATTACTCCAGTAGTTTTGTTATAATTAATAATACAAGGATCGAATACTTAGAAAAACAATTTGTCTAAGTGTCGGTTCGAATCCGGCAGGATCGATGGAATTTTTTCTAAGTGTTCTATGTTTGTATTATTCATTATTTCATATTTGTCTTCAGTCGTTTCTAAGTGAAGGTGCGGAATTTCGTACTTCGTATTTTTCGGAAATTAACACCAAAATTTTGATGGAGAAAAAGCGAAAATTTTATTAATAATCTATCATTCAATAGGTACTCATATGTAATAAGTATTAGATATAAATACAACTATTGGGTCTAATACTATATTACTATTCCAAGTTTCAGGATTCTATATCAAATAGCTTCTGAATAAAGCCCCTGTCTGTGAGCAATAGACATACATACAGACAAACTCGTGAGTAATCTTACAAGGATTCCATTTTTCCTATTCTGGTTCCGAACCCTTAAAAGAGTTAGAGCAAACATCGAGCTAAGCGCGATATTATGTCCTATGTGTGTACGAATTTTCGGTAGCAATTACAATGTTATATTATAGGTCGAGTTTCTTCCTCCGGGAAATCGCGTTTCACCAGATATAAAAAGCTATGAAAGCTTTTTTGATGCCTTAAAATATTTCCCAGTAGTGATCGGACATCGAACTCTCTATCTATACCACACAGTAAATAATTACTCTTGCTTTATGAATGCGGAAAAATTTAACAATGACGTCAATTTTAGTTTACCCAGTGAAGTTTAGGTAACTGAGATTCTAACAGGTTCGCTTAACTACAAAGTAATTTTCAAAGAAATTTTAGACGACTTAAATTGTCATTTGATCAGTGGAAGCATCTAATATTTTGTTTTACGCATATTGACCTAGTTACGTCACGCCCACCTTTTGAACTTTGGTAACTTTTAGATTTAGTTGTAATACAATTTAAATCCAAAACATAATTAAAAATGATTGATTAGAATAACAACTACGTTCCGCTGACCTCTACAACGTAATGAAAGTTTTCACGATTGAAATACTTCGAAACCCACGAGGTGTTCTTTTTCTCCATGTCATTCACTTCACGTACCAACACATACCAAAGCTACGTCTGATTCAACATCCTGTGTAAATACTTACGTTAAAATTGTTGAAATGTATGAGTGTCTTTATTAAAAATAACTCTTTAGATCCTACTTCACTCAGGTTCCGTCTCTCGACCAGTTATGAGTCTCTCGATTGTCTAATAATATCGGATACATTTTTATAAGACGGACTGCGCAGTAATATTTTCTACCCAATTTGTTACTAGCAGCAGTGCATATACGGAAACAGCTTTGTCATGTCACAGCTTATCATGGTAAAACTATGTTTTGTGTTTGTGGTTGTCGGGCTGATAAGAAAATATTGACGCACTATTTGTTGCACATTACATTCCACTCACTTTTACAATCCTTGTTGCTAAAACAAAACACAGCCGTAAATTTTGGCGGGGCCTAATAAACTTCATTCAATGTCCTACTATCTCCAAAAAGGTTCTATCCCTCTCCATCTGTTGTTTTGTATAATACATCTGCGCAAAATAATCGGACCTCACAATTTGGAATACTTTATTGTAGGTAATTAATGTTAACAATAGTCTTTGTCTACGTATTTACAATGATAAATAATGTTGCACTACAATCCGGAAAAAAATAATACAGAATAATATATTTGGGTATAAAACATTACGTAAGTATAAATAGAAACACAGTTAAAAATCCTGCTTTAGCAAAATACAAATGTTCACTTACATTAAATACTTAAAATAAATTTAAAATTACCCTGATGCAAATACAAAATGTCAGTTCAAAGCAAAAAATATACTTACAATTGAGCGGAAAACCGGACTAAAGAAAAAACCACCAACTGAACTAAAGAAGAAAATGTATGTAACACAAAAATAAAACACGCGGTTTCGCCGCGAAATCAAAGAAGTTATGATTTACTGTAAGAAAGTTAACGGAACCGATTGCGAGAGAAAAGCGCTCGCCGCGTGTAGTCAGCCCTTGAGGGAACAAGCGACTGCCTCGACTGCCTCGCGACTGGCTGAGTGGACAGCGCTACACTGTTTCAGCGCTCATGCTGGGATATTTCAAATTTGCAACACACAATACGTTGTCATTTACAGGACAACATTCCTCTTAATAATACATTAGTAAAAGCCTCGTTTGCTAAACCCACATAAACGATATGCAGTGACAATAACACATTATTGTAAAACTTTGTATTGTACTGTACATCTACCCTTTTAAGTCCCACTTTAGAACACGTATCTACTCTACTTGCCCTTATCCTAAGTAAGCTCGCTTTATTTTTTTTAATGTAAAGTAGGAGACAAAGTAGCAGTTGAGCCACTTTAAGAGATGATCATCGTTGCCTATGAACCTTTGTAACACCAAAAGAGCTGGTGTCGAAAGCAAGAAAGGCAAATGAAATTTCAAGAGGAGAGCACATTCCACATCTTGCATGTTCCAGGAAGTAATGGCCGTGATACCCGCATGGTCTTAACATAATACGCCAGGCTTCGAAGATGTGGGGATAGGCTCTACTCAGTATATAGTATATATGTCTATTTAGTTTCAATAATGCTATACCTTAGAGAAAAGTAAAGTGCAATAGTCTGATAAGAAGAGACCCGCTATGACAAAGATACCAGCGTCCAACCCAAAATTATAATAAAATTATAATCATTCTTGTATACAGGGTGTAATTGCTAGGTAAACCCAGGCGATTATTCCTTAAATATAAGAGATATCAAGCACCTTTAAATTGATATCGAAAATACCTTACTTATTATTTTTTTATATTTTGTATTGGTTTGTTCGTAGCAAGGAATGAATGGCATCGAGACAAACCCAAGTAGGGTTTAACGGTGTTTTACATTATTTATGTATACTTTTTTCTTAAAACAATAAAATAAAAAAAAATAAAATAAATAAGTAAAACAACATCAAGAACTGTTTAAAAATAAAACTAGAAATATCCAAAAATTCACCGTTAAACGCTTCCATATATTTAATATGACATTAATAGAATTCTTTAAGAGGTAACAATAAGTTTACAAATAACGAAACTTTTATAAATAAATTAATAAAACTATATTTTAATAGAATAAAAACAAAATGATGTTTATTTTTACGTAAGTACAAAATTTTTTATTCAAAAATAATATTAAAAAAATGTTATTAATGTCGTTTTACTCATTAGGTAACGTACTTTCGATATCAGTTTAAAAGTTTTTGATATCTATTATATTTACGGAATAATTGCGTGTGCACACTTAACGATTACACCCAGTACATTTTAGTGTATATTAGTCATATATTAATAGACAAAGCCATGAAAATGGGTTATTTTCCTCTTACTATTTTTAAAGCATTGCAGAAGTCTGTTTATTTGTACCTACGCTAAATAATATTGTGGTAAGATTTCCCGTCTTTTACTTTGACGTTATTCATAACGACAATCGATTACTGTGCTGTTGGCAATTTGATTCGGTCACGCTTGTTACATATTACAATGTGGTTACACAGTGAAAGCTTTTAAAATGTTTTATAATCATTTTATTCATAATCAATGTGCACGTTAATGTTTCTATTGTATTATTAACACACGTCAATGAGCAATACGTCTTACTGCTGAACACGGTTGTCCTCTGATGCGACGTTAGAAGGTCCTACGCAGGCACTATGCGTGCTAGATTACTTCACAGATCTTCGAAGAGTTTACATTAAAAACCAAGGAAACTTAACGCAGTAAAGTAAATACGTAGATATCAAATAGCTTGTATCGAAGGCTGTTCCAAAAGTAGTTAGCCACAGATTAAATATAGTTTCTTTTTCCCTGAAACTATTTTGAATTGAAGACTAATTTCAATACAAGTCTCCTTGTCGTAAATCATTGGCCATCTATGTGTAGTTCTTATTTAAATATATTTAACAATTACTTTTCTTTTGTTTGCAACAATAGACATCTTGCAGGAAGCTTTTCGTGTTATGATTTTTTATCATTATAAACGAGGGTTAACCTTCAAGGAATCTCACGACATTTTGCAAGCTGCTTTTGGGGAGTCTGCTCCTGTTAGCAATAGTTACTTATTTGTTTTGAGAATTTAAACGTGGTTAAGAAAACCTAAAGCACAGAATATATCGTTGCTAAACGATGACCTAGAAGAATTTTTCGTTTCGGCCTCCCGCAAGATACCTTTTTTGAATGTTTCTATATCTGTCTCACCCGAATGCATAAGTGCATACTTTAGGTTAGAAGGAAATATTTTGAAAAACTGTAAATAAACTTTTTTCATATTCTTTATTTTATTTCACTTACTATTTTTAGTACAGCCTGCTCGTATATCTTTATTTCTGAGATAAATAAATACCACTGAAAAGTGAAGAGAAATCTTTACATTGATTCAACTCTGCTAATCATTCGTTAGGCAGATTCCCCTGAGAAAATTGAGTAAAAAAACTCTAGCACTTCGTAAATAAACATTTGTATACATTTATCATTTACAATATTTATTTCAAATAGATCGAGACAACCTGCAAGATACACGGGTCACTACCATGGATTTTTGTCATCCTCGTACCCAAAAGCTGTATAATAAGTAAAGTATTTATTTTATTTTATTGTGTGTGGATTGAGTGAGCCCCCTCTGTAAAAAATTTAGTAGTAAATATATAACTCACTTAAAAAGTGTGCAAAAGATTTCAAAAAGTTACTAATCGATTTGTAATTAAAGACGATAGTTTAACAAAACTACTGCTAAAACTAGTACAATAATATTATATACAAACTTAATACTTTTGTAGAGCTGACTGGCCCTCTGTGAGAACTGAGCGAGCAGACATTAAGTTATTTTTGTATTGTTCACCTATTTTTTTACAAATGGAAAGATAGGTTTCTGTAATTGTTTCAGAACTTTTACTAAAGTATATAAAATTTTTGTTTCACTTATAGTTCAAAACCTCGCAAATGACAAATATTTAATATCAACAGGAATCTTATTATAAAAGCTTGTATATTGCACTTTAAACGAATTTAATTGGAATTTAAGAAGACTGTCTTTATCTCTACGAATTCAAGAAAAACCACTTTATTTTTATTCCTCGTATTAATGTTATGTCTATCACTATTTTTTGAGTCTACTTAATATCATATATGCAAATTACATTTTCGTCAATAGCTAGTGTAAGAATGTTAATTTCTTTAAACTTTTCTCTCCAAAAAACTTTGGAGCTAAGATTGTAAATTGACATTATCCTACGTTTTTGTGGGACAACGATTACATTAATATCGGCGGCATTATGCAAAGCAGAATGTCGTATATCACATGAAAGTGGCTAAAGTAAAGCAATTTAGCGGTTTCTACGTCTATAAGTTTTCGTATTTTTCAACAGCGTACACTACAGAACTGAACCGTTTCGACAACTTATTTATTTATGGACACCTTTTAAGTTATTAAATTCAACTGTTCAACTTTATATAATAATTACTTCCGTATCGTCAGCAAAAATGCTATCTCGTGTTCTACTCCCTCCACAAGGCTAGGTAAGTAATTAATATAAACTAAAAATAAAAATAGACTTAAAATTTAAAATAGACATCCCTATATTTTAATTGCAGATCCCAATGATCGTGTAGAGTTGATGTAACTCTCTGTACCCACTCAAATACTACATTTAAGAACATCGAGTTCACGGTCCCCCACATCGTATGGCGAACATTCCTGACCAGAATGTTATGGTGCACATACACCAATAGCATTATGTGATCCCGTGATGTGTATTCCCATGTATTAAATTTAATGATTCATCATCTCAATATCAGCATCAGCATTGTAAAGCGACCCCAAACGAAACAAAATTTCTCATACTCTTAGTATTCAAATACCTGTTATTTAGGTTGGATGTTAACATACGGATCGAATCAAATAAATAAGTAACAATGACATACTAATTAACAAGTAGTAACTACACTGATATATCTGGGGTAAAATTTAAAACAATAGATTTTAAGAATTAGAAATAGTAACGTCTTATTATTGTAATTTGTAGAATATCCTCCGCCATCAGTCTAAAAATACACCGAGATCGAAATTTCCTAATCGTTGGGAATTATATTGAAAATATATGACAAGTGTCTCGTCGTCTCTACTCTCTCTACATTGGTTTTTATCTGAGTTGTTCATGTTATTGTTGACACTTTACGTGAACATTGGTAAACATAGTTTTTTATCTGTCTACCAATTCGACATTTTATAGTGACGTCTTTTTTATAGTAACGGATCGCTCGAATCTTCGTATATATAGTTTCTCTCTTTACATTGTAGGGTATTAGCACCTACATATACTTACATTATGAGCCCCGCCATCATCGGTTCAAAAATACACCGAGACCGAAATTTCCCAATCGTTAGGAATGGTACTGAAAATATATGACAAGTGTCGCGTCATCTCTACTCTCTCTACATTGGTTTTTATCTGAGTTGTTGATGTTGTTATTGACACTTAACTTGAACATTGGTAAGCATAGTTTTTTATCTGTCTAGCAATGCGATATTTTATTTATAGTAACATCTTTTTTATAGTAGCGGATCGCTTGAATCTTCGTATAAAGTTTTTCTCTTCACACTGTAGGGTATTAGCCCCTACGTATTCTTACATTATGAATGTTTTTTTTAAATGGGACAGTATGAGAAAGTTCGAAGCCATAGAAGATAATAATAATAACGCACACAATCAACATAACTGCCTCCGTGGCCGAACGGTTACCATGCCGGACTGCCACACAGAGGTCCCAGGTTCGATTCCCGGGCCGGGAGAAATGTTTGTATGGCTTACATTTATTTCTCTCGTGAGTTTGGGTGTAATTTGTGGTTGTCTATGTGTGTGTCCATGGCACCCGCGACACAGGGTTTCCCTAGTGCGGGGCTATGTTGAGTGTGCGCGTTATTATTTATTTATAGACCCGCACTATGGAAACCCTGAGTCGCGGCTGCCATGGACACA